AATTACTGAAGCTATGTAGCTAAAAAAAATAGCAATATTTATCTACATATCTTAATTTCTAGCTGCACTCCTAAATAGCTAGAGAGCTCTATTTGGTGTGACGCAGCTACATTTTTAGCTACTTAGCTAAATAATTAGTTATCCCCTATTTAGCAATTGTTTATGTCTGTAGCTAAGCTAATCTTTTTTTTTCAGTGAGCTCACGCCCTGCTTCATGAGCCTCTGCTCAAAGCTCGCCGCTCGGCACCGCGACGACGGCGCCCACTCTGGGGCGTTGCCTCACCTCCTCACGGTCCGCCCGGCGCCAAACAAAACCGGGCCTTTGCCGTCACCCGGGCGGGGGCGGGCGGGACGTTCTCGGATACGTATCGCGCCACTTCATCTGCCGGGAGAGGAACCGAGCCGCCGCCAGCGCACCGCGCCGTACGCACAGTGGCATGCCATCCAGGTGGGCAAACAAACTCCCCCACAAATACGCGCCTCTCGGTGGAGCGGGCTGCATCAACGCCTGCATAGTAGGCAACCCCTCGGCCCTCGGCACACACACATTGCCTAGTAGGCAGCCCGTTCGAGACTTGGTGCGTGCACCACCATGAAAAAAAATTCGTGTAAGGTTTACAGGAAAACTTTGTCGTGAGGTGTGTTGTAAAATTTCAACTTAAAATAATTATAAAATTACAAGGAATATTTATCGACTTGGGATTCAGTGATGAGCATAGGATCGGGCTGTGGTAAACTTACGACATATTATGTAAGTCGTAAAACACAAAACATGCTGTAAATTTACGAAGATAACTTTCACCACAATGTATACTCGTGGGTATTTTTCCCACATTTCATTCTTATTTTTTTTTTTCGCCTACCCCGTTGGCAACACTGACCGCGCGCGCCCCACGCGAGGGAAGCCCCAGTTGCGGCGTGACGCGTGCAATAACGCCCGGTTATGTCAATAAGTACACGGGCCGCGGGGCCGTCGTGTCCAGCCAGCACCGCGACAAGTGGAGCAGAGAGCCGTGGCGTGGCGTGGCGTGGCGTGGCGTGGCGTGGCGTGGCGTGGCGTGGCGTGGCGTGGCGTGGCGTGGCGTGGCGTGGCGCGGCGTGGCGTGGCGTGGCGTGGCGTGGCGGTTCAAAATTAGGCCCGCGCCCGCGCGCCACTACACTGCGATGGGAAAGGGAAGTAGTAGCAGCCAGTGCAGGCGAAAGGGACATGTCGCCACTCCACTGGAAAAGGGGGAGGGGGGTAGGAGTGGCAACATGGCTGTCCGAGTGCAGCACTCTCTTCTGCATGACAGAGATCCCCCTCCCTCTCCGTGTGCCGTGTCTGTTGTCCGTCCGGCGCGCGCGCGCGCGCGGATGTCCCGCGACGGTGGTGGTCAGCTCGGCGCTGGCTGGACGTCCTGCTGCCCCCCTTGCCTCGCTACTCCACACACCGCGGTGGTTGGTGTGTGCAGCCAAACGTTTTCATTTTTGCAATGACGCGAAAGAATTATAAAATCGCGATAGGGACATGGCAAACAAGAAGGGGTGCGACGTCAAAATTCGTGACGCAAGACGACAATAAGAAGGCGTCCTCCTCGCTGACATAGCCGCACGGCGTCGGACGCGCTCTGGGGACCATAGTATACCCATATACGCAGCAGGCATAAGGGAGGATGTCGGTGGCGATGACGGCACCCCCGGAAGAGGAGGAGGAGGAGGGCCCGCACAGGCCCAGCCCGTCGTCCACGCACCACCGAGCGGCGCCACCGCGTTGCACACGACGCGATGCGCCCCGCCGTCCACGCGCGGGCACTTATTGGAGTACGCGAGGGCGTGGCGGCCGCCTAATGACACACCAGGCCGACCGACCGGCTGGACCGAGCGAAGGGTACTTCGCTACAAGCATAACACGATTTTTCTGTGCTCTCTCAATTTTTTCAGATTTTTAAAAAGTGATTTCTTCTTATTTTAAAATTAACTTTTCAGATTTTTCTGTATTTTTTATTTTTCCCTGATATTTTCTGTATTTGACATATTTTTTCCAGATTCTTTTCAGATGTTTTCCCTGATTTTTTTCTGATAATTCTTCAGATTTTTTCCCCCCTTTACTCACCGTGCATGCACACCCAGTGCAGGTAGTCGAGGTTGCAGCCCACGTCGTTCCACAGCCAGCCGCGGCCACCGTCCAGGACGACGCAGTTCTGCTCGCCGTTGTAGTTGTTGGGCTGGTCCTTGCCCCAGGCGGGGCGCTGCACCACCTCGCCGTCGACCCAGCGCCAGGTGCGCGACACGACGCCGGGCTCCTTCTGCGCGCCGATCCAGACGAGCTGCGTCTTGAGGCTCTGCTTGCGCCGCTCCAGCTCGGCCAGCAGGAAGAGGTTGCGCGCGCCCGACAGCCCGTGCACCAGGTCGCCGCCGTGCGCGCGGCACGACGCGCGCGCCGCCTCGAACGACCCGCCCGACTTGACGGCCAGCTCGAAGCAGGCGCGGTCGAAGGCGGCCAGCTCCGTGTCGGCCGCCCCGCCCGCCGGCGCGCACCGGTCGTCGGAGAACTCTGCAAACGACAAACAGTGCGACAGTTTTAATGTACAGACATAACACGCATTTTTCTCATTTCGATAAATTTATTTTACTATATTTTTATTTCTCTGTTTCTTT